CCGGACCCGGTGGCTTAAAACTCACGCCGGGCGCGTGTGCGTGCGTGCCCAAGATCCCGAGAGGAGAATGGAGGAGAAGGGATTGCGGCGTGACCATCCCCCCTGGGGGGTGATTTCTCGCTTTCTGTCTCTATGTCTCTCTCTGTCTGGCTGGCGAGTGCACGCGCCCTACAGTGAAAATCTCTCCAAAAAAAAAATAATAATAATATTGAGAAAAAAGTATGAATTTTATGGAAACGTATTACATTCCTTTTCTCACAGATCTGTGTTAACTATGCTGAATTGAATGCATTGTTTTCAAACAGAACAGACCCCATTCAGGGGATTAAAGTAGGCCACAAATTCGTTTTACTCATTACCCAAGTTGCTTGCAAATCCTGCATTCAAAGCACGAGGGCATCACATGTTTCTACTTCAAGGCTACCCGTACAGGAAACGAAAGCCCTCCTCGCAGCTTGGGAGCAGAGGATCCAAATTAGAGTAAATTGTGTAAATTATAACTAAATTGCAAAGCATTTGGACAAAGCAGGCATGCCAGTCTAATCAGGAGCGCAGTGATATTTACTTTTTGATAATTCAGGTTGGAAGAAGAACTGGGGGAGGGAAGCATCACAAATCTCTTTTAATATACTTCTGAACTTGGCAACCTAAACTGGTTTTGTCACATATTTGCAGCTTAAAAAGTATTTGGCTTTTACAGCAGCCAAAATAAGTATCCTTTAATCACTTTCAACCTATGAACAGATGGGCAAACAGTGCTTTTATAAATGGAGCATACAAAATACTTCAATATCAGCCAAAACTAATTAGTAGCAATATCTGAACCAAACTCTAAAACTGATTCAGTGTTTAATATATATTACCATATAAGCATTAGCAGTTGAAAGGAAATTCCCTGTTAAAATGTTTGCCAAGCTCAGGGTCTAATGTTCGGACATGATTAATGTATTAATTAGCGTATTGTATCTTTTCTCACATGTCATTTTGCTTAATGATTTCTTCTCTCTCAGAAACGATTTGATTTGATAGGTTGACCATAGATTTGTCAAACTTCAAGTGAAAACGTCAAGGGCAGCCATTCAGCCGCGGTCTGTCAACTTTCTTAGAGTAACTTTAGCAGGAAGGAGGTGGCATGAGGACAAAGCAACAATTGTTTTACGTCTAGCCTCTACTTATTCAGATTTTTATCTTGATAAAGATTTTCTAAATGAATTTTGTGGAGAGTCTTTGGTGGTAAAGAACCTCTGTAAAAATGACAATTCCTTTTGTATCAGAATTATGTTGAGACATTGTGAAGGGAGATAAATTTAAAAATTATGTTTGGAGGGTGAGCAAGCAGTAATTTCTTCTACTGGTTTGGATTCAGAGGGAGTCATGGACTCCATGTTTCTGGCGGTCCCAGTACGCTTCCCACGTCTTATCTACTCCTCATTGTCAGACTCTACATAAACATTTCTGTAACAGCCTGTATTCGAAATATGGCTGCATCTTTTCAGTAATGCAAAACAAGCAAATGAATAAAGACCTAAAGTCGGTCACTCAAGTCATTCTAACCATTGAGGATTGGGCACTATCAACATCAGCCTTTCTGCTCTCATGACGTAATTTTGTCCTCCTTTGATTGTATTACACACGTGATCAGGAGGGCTTTGAATTGTGGTTGTGCTAATTACAGCTTCATCATCTTGAGAAGTCACTTAATTTTCCTCACGATGGAGAAAGAGTAGCTGTCGGTTTTCTTTTTAGCCTTATGTTGTGATCAAGATAACTCATAAAGCAGTTCTGACCACATGTGTTTGTTTGGCAACTTTATTTATTTTTACATTTTAAAAATTATTTATTGGTGCAGGGAGGTGGCATAGTGGCTAAGGAGCTGGACTCCCATGTGGCTGACCACAGTTTGAGTCTTGGACCCAGCAACTTGAAAATCACACCGGACACATGGGCATGTATAGCCAGAATCCCAAGAGGAGACTGTAGGAGGGGGGTATGCCCACCCCGCCAGAGGGTAATTTCTCACTTTCTGTCTCACTGTCTTTCTCTGGCAAGTGCACGTGCCCTATAGCAAAAGCCTGAAAGACAAAACAAAACAGAAATTTAATTAATTAATTAATTATTTTACTATAGGGGATTTGTGCTCACCATAGAGAGAGACAGAGAGAGATAGAAAGAGAAAGCAAGAAAGCATTCTCCAGGGGGGCAGCCATGCTGCAATCCCTTCTCCTAAATCTCCTCTGCAATTCAAGGAAACTTCTGAGTCCAGCAGAGCTCCAGTTACCTAGAGCTGGTGCCTCAGCAACAGTGACCATCACACATCTCCTTTTTAAGAGAGATTTATACTTTTATTTATTCTGAGAGAAAGGTACAATGTAGTGAACTTAGAATCTTTTAGATTTTACAGTAAATCTTGAAGCTCTGGACAAGCCAGAGTAATCATTTCCATTTTATTTGCATTTCTTCTTTATCTCATCCATCAAGGACCACTCATAAAAATAATTTTATTAACCAAGCAAAAATCTTCTTAGAAAAGAGCTCCTTCTTTTCTAAGCCATTCAAAATCACTAACAAAAAACAAAAACAAAAACAAAACAAAACAAAACAAATAAAAAAACTTTGTTTCCTTAACTTCACTTTATCTGGTAGCTCTGACTGTTTAATAATGTAATTGTTGCTACGGTGCACAAAATAATATATTTTTGACTCATTAATCGATAAACTTTTTCTGAGAATAGGGAAAAAACCAACCAGCAACAGAAAAGAGTGACAGTTACAAGAACATTATACAAGGCTAACTTTCTTTCTTTGTGAAGAATGAAAAAGCTTCTTTCATTTACACACAAAAAGAACCAGCAGCCTCAGTTCTACCTCTTTAACTGTACAAAGTAAATACAGAAGACAATTTCCTGTGTCTTAGCAAAACTCACTGGCCAGCTATGGCTACTTGGAAGTAGAAAGGTCAGGGAACCAAAAAGGATCTCAGATGAATACTTTTGAAAATGTATAGATCAAGGGCCCAACTCCGTTCCAGTGGGCACAGAATTATCTCTTAGTGATATTTAAACTAGTGTTCAACATGATGTTATGTGGCATTCGAATGACATCAATACAGAAGATACACGAACTTCAAGAAAAACTACAGATTAGGCAAATGCAAACAGATCTGGGATTTCCTGCCATCTACCGCTCAACAGAGACTTGCTGGCTGGATCAAATAATTGAAATGTGACTTCCAACATTACAGTTATCAAGAGGAGAAAAATAATAGCTATGGAGAACAGTTTAAGCCTTGTTCAAGAACTAGGCTTAGTGAAAAAATGAAAGCATACTAGGAAAATAAATGCAAAAATCAGTCAGTGTGAGTCAGAGATTCACGCTGAGACTCACGGAAAGTGGGTGTGGTATTCAGAGGTCTACGTATGATGAACCTTTGGAACAAGAGTCTGTTTTGGTAGATGCACTGATTTGGATATCACAGTGGAACTCCAGCCATCAAAGAGAAAGGCAGAAGCACACCCGACGTGTCCTCAGGCATGGTCAGCATCCTGAAGAAGTGCAAGAAAAAGGGAGGCCAGCAGGTGGTATAGAGGTTAAGGCAGCTTGATCCTAAATGGCAGAGTGGACAGTTTGAGTTCTGGGCCTGCTGGTTTGAAAATCATGCCAGTCATGTGTATGTGCATGCTCAAAATCGTGAGAGAATGGAAGAGAAGGGATCGTGATGTGGCCATCCCCGCTGGGGAATGCTTTTCCACCCCTTTCCCAGCTTCTCTGGTGAACATATGCACCCTAGAGCAAACTTAAGAAAAAAAAGAAAAGAGGAGTGAAAGAAAAAGGATTGTGGTGTGACCATGCTTTGAGAAACATTTGCTTTCTTTTTTTCTATCTTTGGTGAGTGCATGCAACAACAATACATGTAAAAGAGAAAAGAGAGGCCGAAACAAATATTTTTTTTTTTAAAAAAGAAAGTATATTTATTTGCTAGCAATTACAAGGGAACCTGGGACCAGCAGTTAGCGTAATGGCCCGTCGCTGGACTCCCACGAAGTCGACCGCAGTTCGCGTCCCGGACCAGGTGGCTTAAAACTCATGCCGGGTGCATGCGTGTGCGCGCCCAAGATCCCGAGAGGAGAACAGAGGAGAAGGGGTTGTGGTGTGGCCATCCCCCCGGGGGGTGATTTCTCGCTTTCTGTCTCTCTGTTTCTTTCTGTCTGGCGAGCGCAAGTGCTCTATAGCAAAAACCTCTCCAAAAAAAAAAAAAAAAAAGAAAAAGAAAAAAGAAAAAAAGAAAAGAAAGAAAATTACAAGGGAACCAGACTTCAGGGTTTGAAATACTTAGCCACTATTTTAAAAATACAACAAATAGAGGGAAAAGATAGACACTGGGTTACCAAGGTTACAGGTAGTCTGCTAACAGTGGAAAACCTGCAGCTTTGGCACACGTTTATCATCACTGCAAGGGTCATCTTCACCAGGCTGATTGTGGCCCCTAGCATGGCCCTTCCCATCTCTTGTTCTTAAGTTCCATGACCCTCCCTACCACCCTTCAGTGCCTCTCAGTCAAGAGCATTTGGATCAGCATTACTTTCCAGAAGATGTTTGGTAAGCAGAATATCAGTGTCAAATAATGAAATAATTTTGAAGTAGTCTTTAGCTGAAAATAGCTTCTGGGATAGGAAGACTATTTGGACTAACCTGCCTTGTCTTATGAAACTATTGTCCTTATTAAATAGTTGGGGATAAAGTTTTGAAAAATTCACTCTCTTTTGGATTTCCTTTTTTCAGAATGTTAATTTCAAACATGTTGTATTGATGCTAGCCGGTCCAACCTTCTTTAGAGGACATGACTGATATCTTCAAGGGACGTTGCATGTTGAATTCCATGCACAGATTACAATAAATCTCCCATTTCAGTACATTAATTGTTAAAAGAATTCAAGATTGTTTGCAGAAGTGTTTATTTTTCTTATTATTTGTACTAAGAAATATTTATATTTTATTTTTAGGACAAAATACATCCTAAGTAAAAATGCTAAACTTGACGATAAGGTTAAAAGAATTGGACCACACATAGAAATCTTCCAAGTGTTCCGAGAAAGAAACAAATTCATAATTACCAAAAGAGTGATTAGAATGATCACCATCTTGCAGGCATATGTCAGGGGGTGGCTTGAACGGAAAAGATTCCAAAGAATAATGACCAAGGTAAGACATGCATTAGATATTATGTGTTTACAATTTCTTATGCAGATTTAATTAAATACAATGAATAGTCACCTGGTCAATATAATTATTCTAAGTAAAGTTCTGTCTACTTTCTTGATTGAGAAAATGTTATGAATAATCTTCTCTGATGCCAGAGTTGGAGACTGAACAAAAGACTTGGCTTTGTCTTTTTGCTGTTGTTGCTAATTTGCTATAGGGCTTGTGTTCTCACCAGAAAGGGGGTTGGGGAGTTGGCCATTCTACAATCTTTTCTCCTCCATTCTCTTCTTGAGATTCTGAGTATGCAGTGCACACACATCCAGTGTGTTTTTCAAGCCACCAGGTTCGGGCCTCGAACCATGTAGTTGGCCATTTGGGATCCAGACACCATAATCATCATGACACTGGTTGGTTTGTCCTGGATTCTTCTTTATTTTTTTCTCTCTCTCTTAAGTTTTTGCCACAGGGCACATGTGCTTGTCAGAGAGAAAGAGAGAGACAGTGAGAGGGGAAGTGAGAAATCACTCCCTGGATGGGGGGGATGGCCATGCTGCAATCCCTTCTTCTCCATTCTCCCCTTGGGGTCTTGGTTATGCGTGCACATGTGCCTGGCATGATTTTCAAACCACCTGGTCTGGGACTTGATCTGCAGTTGGCCATGTGGGAATCCAGCGACATATCCGCTATGCTTTCTCTGCTGCCCTAGCCTAGTTTAGTTCTGATACCACTTACTTTTCATTCAGGATGATTGTATTTACACCAAAGTTGTTTCTTCTTTGATAACCTTTTATTCTGTTAGAACAACTTTCTTCCACTTCTCACACTCCTAGATACTCCTGCAGAACATAGATGTTCAATTTAAAAATAAATACACACACATGCACATACCAACCAGGGACACTTTTATAAACAGCAATTCTGATTTTCTAATTAGATCACACGGATCCACTATGGCTGGGCAAATGCTGACAAACCTTAGTGGATGAATTTTGGCAAAACTTTGAGAGAATTCAAAATGTTCTCACCTTGAGGGCTGGTTTTACCACTAATATGGAATTTGGGAATTCTACCATAAAGAGAGTAAATTAGGATTGTCCTTCCAATTCCTTGCTTTTCTCAAAAAATGTGCTTGAAGTGAGATCTGAAACACATTTCTGAGAACATAACAAAACTGTAAGAGATAATCCATGTGCCCGTCTCTCTCTCTCTCTCTTTTTTTTTTTTTTTTTCAGAAATTTTTGCTATAGGGCACATGTGCTTTCCAGAGAGACAGAGGCAGACAGAAAGCAAGAAATTGCCCACCTGCGGACATGGCCATGCTGCCTTCTCTTCTCCCCCATTCTCCTTCTGGGATTTTGGGCATGCATGCACTTGCACCCGGTGTGAGTTTCAAGCTGCTGGGTCTGAGACTGAAACCTTAGGTGACCATGTAGGATTCCAGCACCTTAACCAGTACGCCACCTGCCTGTCCCTACCTGCCTGTCTCTTAATTAATATGTGCATAATACACCTATGTAGTCTTGATAATTAAACATGATAATGCATGTCAAACTCTGGCAGAAAGTAAACACTCCATTTACTTAACCCTTCAGTCACTCTGTGAGGTAGCTGCTATATATTCGTATATTATTGGGATGTTGGGAAAGCGATGCATTTTTGCAGAGAAACATACCTCATGACTTCCCAATGACCTAATATGTAGGCAAAGGAACTGAAGCTCAGGGAAATTAGGTTATTTGCCCAAAGTCAAACAGCTGGTAAGTGACAGAGCTAGAATTCAACCCCATGTCTGACTCCAAACACGACTTATTTTACCTATCACGTCGCCTACCTGAATTACTTTAATCACGATCAGTTGCTTCCTAATGCCATGTAAAGCCGTATCCCAGATCTAGCTCCCCAGTAGTTTCATTAAACTCCACATAATCTCACATAATCTTTTTTCAGAGAGATTTTTGCTGTAGGGCATGTATGCTCGCCCAAGAGACAGAAAGAGACAGAGGCAGAAAGGGAGAAATCACCTCCCAGGGGGATGGCTACACTGCAATCTCTTCTCCTTCATTCTCTTCTTAAGATCTCGGGGACGCATGCACATGCACCTAATGTGAGCTTTAAGCCACCAAGTCCGGGACTCGAACCGCATTCTATTATATGGGAGTCTAGAGACATAACCATTAGGCCATCTGCTGGTCCCAAAGTCCACATAATCTTAAACAAACTGGTTTTCCTATTCCACACAGATTTTCTTCTCCTGGACCACTTATATTGATGAACTGTTGTGTTATCCACGGTCTAAGCTTTTAACCTGAGTTCTCTTAGGTTTCTTAAATGTCTTCAGTCCCATATTCTGTTTTTACCACCTTCATAGCATTCCATGTGTTGCTGTTCTCTGTTTCTTATCAGAGTTTCTGTTCATTGGCCCTCACATTCTAATAGTCTCCTAATTGAAATTCTTGCCCTTAGACCTACTTCCTCTAATCTAGCTGCCTGCCATAAGCTATATATATATGTTTTTTTCCACTTTCTACTTTTTTTCATTTTTTTTTTTAAATTTAGGGACCAGCAGTTAGGCTATGTCGCTGAACTCCCATGTAGTTGACCGCAGTTCGAGTCCCAGACCTGGTGGCTTAAAACTCACGCCGGGCACGTGTGCGTGCATGCCCAAGATCCCGAGAGGAGAATGGAGAAGGGATTGCGGCATGGCCATCCCTCCAGGGGGTGATTTCTCACTTTCTATCTCTGTCTTTCTCTGTCTTTCTGACATGCACACATGCCCTATAGCAAATTGGGATCTTGGGCATGCACGCACACGCGCCCGGAGTGAGTTCTAAGCCACCGGGTCCGAGACGCAAACCACAGTCAACTACGTGGGAGTCCAGCGACATAGCCATTATGCTAACTGCTGGTCCCATAATTTTCTATTTCTTGTTTCCTATGTATTTTGCTGCTTTTTTTTTTTTTTGCCATCCTTGATTCCCTATCTCTCCCCCTCTGCTGTGTCCCACCCTCCTCCCACACTGTCTCTGGTATCCATGGTTGCTTTCTATGCCTTTTCCCCCCATTTTATTGATTCACTAACTAGCTTACTCTAAATATTTCCAATAGCAAGCACAGCTGATATATACATATCCATGAACACAAGTCTGACTTTAGGCATAAACCTCAGTGAGTACAATGAACATACTATAAAGTATGCATTATTTTTCATTTAAAAAAAAAGCTTTCATTTTTTTTTCTCCTGAAACTTTAATTAATTTACATTTATCACTTTAGCATTGTCATAGCATACAAAACGTGGTTTCCCAGGACCAGCAGTTAACGTAATGGCTATGTCACTGGACTCCCATGTAGTCAACCATGGTTCAAGTCCTGGACCTGGTGGCTTAAACTCACGCCAGGCGCGTGTGCGTGCGTGCCCAAGATCCTGAGAGGAGAAGAGAGGAGAAGGGATTGCGGTGTGGCCATCCCCCCTGGGGGGTGATTTCTCACTTTCTGTCTCTCTCTGTCTTCCTGGTGAGCGCATGTGCTCTATAGCAAAAACCTCTAAAAAAAATGTGGTTTTCCATCCAGAATATACTGCATAGTGGCTTAATCATGCATGTTATCACCAATAATTTTCCATTTCTAGTTTCATATATATATATACATATATATATATATATATATGTATATATTTATATATATTTATCCCTATGTCTGACCCTCTTGCCTTTCCCACCCTCTTCTCACACTATCTCTGGTATTTACAATTGTCTTCCATTCCTTTTCCTCCCACATTTTATTGATCACACAATTTCTTAAATAATCTAACTACTTTCAATAACAAGTTCAGCTGGTAATTTCAAGAAAAGCAGTTTTGTTTTTTTTTTAATTTTTTGGAGAGGTTTTTGCTATAGGGCGCGTGCGCTCGCCAGACAGAGGCATAGAGACAGAAAGCGAGAAATAACCCCCCAGGGGGGTGGTCACACCGCAATCCCTTCTCCTCCATTCTC